TTTATTGAAGAATTATTCAAACATGTTCAAAACTACCTTATTGAAAAAGAAGCAGCCTGGCTTAATCAAAATCTTGTCAAGGTTTTGCTAATTGTGTCAAAACTTGTAAGCTGTAAACAACTAAAGATTATTGCTATGAGTCCATCTGTGCAGATTCTGGACCTTTCTTTACCTCCGATGATTTTTTGGATCTCGATAAAGAAATCTTTTTAGAATTAATTAAGTGTGATGATCTCGGAATTAAGGAAATTGATCTTTGGGATCATCTCATTAAATGGGGAATCTCTCAAACTCTCACAATTAAACAAGATGATGTTAAGAAATTTACAGATGCAAATTTCGAGAATTTGAAGAAAACTTTAGATCCCTTTATTTCACATATTAGATTTTACGAGATTTCATCAAAAGATTTCTTTGATAAAGTTCGTCCATACAAAAAAGTTTTACCGCCAGCATTGTATGACGATGTAATGTCTTTCTTAATGGCTGAGACTAAACCACAATATAGAAGATTGCCTGCAAGATTTTCGTCGTACCAATATGTAGACCTTTCTGAATCAAGAATCATTAGAAGACGACATGCAACTATTCTTTCTAATCAGATTCATTATAAGAATGCAAGTTCGAAAATTTCCAAGGGAAATAAATATAAATTTCAACTTCTTTATCGTGGAAGCGTGATGGATATAATATTAAAACATTTTATTCGAAGGTTAAAGGCCAAGGTCCTGCTATCGCAATAATTAAAATTCAAAATTCTGAAAAAATCATTGGTGGATTTAATGCATCTGGTTGAAATTATAAATATGATGATGATGATGATGATGATGATGATTATGATGATGATTATGATGATGATGATAATTATGATGATGATTATGATGATGATTATGATGATAATAGAAATGAAGATTATAATAAAAATCATTTTATCTTTTCATTTGGAGAAATCACGGGATAAAAATAGGTAAATTCGTTTCTGGAACTGGCTTATATTATGGTCGTAATTGTATGCTAGAATTTGGAAATGGTGATTTGGTATTTGATGGCATTAATGGTTCATGTAGCCAAAGTTCTTATGATCAATCTATACTGGGCTTTAATAGTTTTGTTGCTGAGGAAATGGAGGTATTTAAGGTAATTAAGAAGAAGATTAGTAGCGATTATTAATTGAAATAAAAAATGAAAAAGAATTGTTTATACATTAATATTTATCTATGGAATTTTTTCAAAGTGCATATAAATAAATAATATATTGCAGATCAGTTGGTAAAATTGAATCAATCCTCATGTCCATAATGCGAAATAATGGTGCCTTTAAGTATCAATTTATTAGCTCCAGCTGTTTCTAATTTCATTTAAAATTTTTTTATAATACTCAAATTCTACAGAATATAGTGCCATTTTAAATAAAGATGAATCATCTAAAAAATATATCAAATGTGTCGTCGTTTAATTATTTATTATTAGTAATTAGTAAATTACAGTAATTTTTAAATTACGATAAACAGCAAACGGATTAAAATGTCAGTAAAAATGTAATTTACTTTAATACAATGATAAGTGTATTATTGAGATGATGCAAGCATTATTCTAGGGTTCCGCAAAGTCGGATTTTATCTATACGTATTCTTAATCCTAATTCAACTTATCCTATTTTTATTGTATTCGGATCCATAAAAATATTCAAATATTGAATATTTTGAATATTTTCATGGATTTGAATTAAATTATATGTATCTCCCTTTTTCTCGGATCAACGGATCAATCCGAATCCTTTTCCATTTTTTTGTTGGATTCGAATATTTTTGCGGAACCTTATTATTATATTTATGAAATTTGATTCATATTAGTTAATACTTCAATATTGCAACATATACATTATATAATCAATCTTTGTGAAACTTAGATAAACCAAAATTGGAACATATCAGATATGCCTAAAAATCTTCAACGGCACGGGTTATTTGATATTTAGTGTTCAAAAATTATGAATGTTTTTTTTTAATTTTTTTTTGCTTAAATGTGAAGCCTTTTTTTTTTTGCATTAATAAATAAAAGATTAATCATCAAATGTGATGGTTAAGTATTTTATTATAAATAAACAAGCAATTTCTTTTCCAATAATAAGATACTGTAGACAATATAACTAACAAACCGAAAACGGGCATATTCAATAAATTTATTTAAAGACACATCATGCTCTTTGTTGAGTGCAATGTGCTAATATAATGATATTAATGATATTTAGATTTTTTAATTAAGGATTTTTAGTTTCAATCATATGAAATTCTTCATTTACAGCTCACCAATTCTTAGATTTGATACGAATGATAACTGATATATTTATTAAAGTATATTTTAAAGTATATTAGATTTGGGTCTTCGTTGAAGAAATATTATAGTTTATTGTATTAGGGTAACAGATGTTACTTCTTTTTTAAAAAATATTTATGTGGTTAGTGGAAATTAATAATTATAAAATATATATATATATATTTTTGTATATTTTTATTATTTTTTATTTGCATTTATTATATGTATATTTATTATATTATTAATGTTTTTACTGATACTAATCAAATCTGTTGTAGAGATAAAGGGTGAAGAAGAGGTGAAAAAAAAAGGAAAAAAAAAATTTAACGTAACGGAAGGCGTTAATATATTTTTAGTAGTTAATAATAAAAAAATTAATAATGCATTTTCTGATTTTTAAAAAACCTAATATATTCTTTTATATATTCTTTTACTTTAAAAAAAAAAATTAATAATCCGATTATTTAAAGTATATTATTAATATTTAATTACAAATATTTATTTCTGTTATTATTAATAATTTTTTGAAGTTTTTAGTTCATGTGGGATCATTAGATTTACTTTTGGCATTATTATTAATGATATATTGTATTATTAATTATTTTTGAAACATAATCTTATAAAGTCCAGTTCTTTTTTTTTTGTGAAAAAAAAAGAGGAAGATGCCTTGTAATTTAAGTGCTATTTGTTACATCGATCAAAGTAACGAAGTTTCGGGAAAAATAATTTTGTCGGAATGTTTTTCTAAATCTCAGAGTGAAAATATTTTTCTTCATATATCCGCTTTTTATCCCTAAGGTATTTCGAGGGGTGAGCATATGGATCATTTTGAAAAGGATGATGTTCTAAACATACAAGGACGATTTTATGTTACAGAGGTAAATGCCGATAATACAAAGATGAAAATAGTAAAGGTAATAAAATATGCTTGAAATTGCCGAGAGAGTTGCGATAATTTAGTTTCTATATTTAATTAAATATATATAATTATTAATATTTTTTTACAAGTTCTCGCATCAGAAATGATTTATTAAATCTTGAGAGGATTTACGAAAAATCGCCTTTGTCTGTTGTGATGACAGGAGTTATATCTGATCGATCTCAACAAATTGAACCAAACAGTTAACAAAACATTAGAGAACATAGAAAATCTAGTAAACACAACACACATAGTAGGTTATAAAAAAGAGCTGCCCAAAAAAGTAACATGTTACCGAATCAGAACAACAAATATATGATAGCGGAAGATTATATAAATGAATACTCAACTAAATTATTTAAGAAAAAACAAATTTACCTGAAAGGTTAATTGGTATGTTTTTAAATAACACAGAATATAAATATAAAAATATGTAACAGGACCATGGGTATAATCACTAATATAAATAAAGAAAAACAAGAAATAAGACGTGCTTTTTGTATCAGAGGAGGAATTGAAGATTTAGTAATAAAAAAGCATATTTCATCATTTTATATAAACGGTGAACATGCAAATAGAAAACAATTTCCTATTATTGTTGCATATGACCTTACTGTTCACAAAACGTTAGCAAACATATCACTTCCCAAATGTGGGAAAAAAGGACAGGCTTATGTAGTGTCGCGGTCTGCGCAGAACAATGTGGAAAATTAAGCAAATAAATTTAGGTCAATCACACGATAATTCTAACACACTTTCTCTTGTGCGAAATATTCTGAAACACAGCAAGACAAGCAATCAGTCGATCTAAACTTGCTTACTAACACTCACAAACAATGCAATTACGTGTAATATCTAAAGGTACGATGAGCAAGTGGAGTAAAAGTATCTTCACTAACTGTTTCGTACACTGCCGAAATTTAACAGACTTTTGAAGTAACTTGCCGAGAAATATAGAAAAGTTTATTAAAATATTTAGAGATATATTACTGCGTTGACGTATCTATTCCGATACACGAAATTATTTATTACTATTAAAAATTAAAACTATTACGAAAATTATTCATTATTATTAAAGACTATTCGAAACTATTTGTATTACTAAGATTATTTGAGAAATTATTTATTATATATAAAAAAAAAAGTAATTAAGAATTATTTAGATCGTTACGAAATTATTTGTTATTATTAAAATTATTAAGAAATTCGTTATCAAGGTAAAAAAGTTATATGTCATCGAATTGATCACCTGATATAGTTTAAAATATACATATAAAATTGGAATTAGAAATCAGAATGTTTTTTATTTCTTGATTATTTCATTACTTTTTATTCATTCTTTCGAATTTTTAATTTTTAGATTATTCTTGCTGTTCTTCATTTGATTCAAATATACAATTCGATTTTCAGTTTATTTGAAAAGGTAATTATTCATTGAAAAAAATTGAACCTCAAAAAAAAAGAAAGAAAACAAGTAATCTGAATTTCTACGTAACTAAGATCCATATGAGAAAGAATATGAATATTTGTTGTTTATCATTCAAGACCTTATACATCTGACCTAGTCAAAATAAGGTATCTTGGCAATTTAATTTAGTAAAATCAAATTACGTCAAAATTATGAATCCGAGCTTTTTGACCGAAAATCACCTATCAAATTTTAGTGGGATCACAAATTCGATTATGAACGAATTTTCCTATTTATATATAATATTAATTAGCTTATAGTCATCAATAACTTTATTATCCACAATGAGAGCTGCATTCTATCCTAGTTATCTCAAGATTTTTCTCAACTTCTTGAAGACGCTGATGATTTAATGTTACAATTAAAGTTGTCAAAAATCAAAATACACAAGAGTTTTGTGCACATTCAACAAAGAGCGCGTTCCCCTTATTTCAAAAGTGCTCTCTCAAATCAATTGGCTAACAATAAAAAAGAAGCGATGATTTTATTTCAATTCCAAATCTTTCTTTGATAATCACTTAATATATTGGCAGTATTTAAAAATTCTTAAATAATTATTCTCTATAAAATAGGGTATATAAGTTATATACTGGAATTCTTGACTTAAAAAATCTAGTTCTAATATTCTTGGTCTTCTTGATGAACTGACTCTTAAAGAATTATTTAAGCACGTTCAAAAACTACCTTATTGAAAAATAGTCTAGATAACCAAATTTGTTAAAGTTTATTGTGTCAGAGCTTCCAAGCTGTAAATTATAGCTACGAGTCCATCTGAACAGATCCTTTATAAATATATCTTTTTAGGGTGATGAGGAATTGAGGAAATAAATCTTTAGGACCCACAATTAAACAAAAATTGTTACAGATGCAAATTTCGGGATTGAAGAAAAACTTTAGATCCTCTCATTTTAAATATTGTATCTATGAGATTTCATCAAAGGATTTCTTTTATAAAGTTCGTTCATATAGAAAATGTTGTCATTAGCATTCTTCGAAGATATAATATCTTTTTCAATGGCTAAAGCTGAACCACAACATAAGAGATTGCCTGAAAGATTATCGTCGTATGTCATGAGAGAAGACATGCAACTATTCTTTCTAATCGGATTCATTATATGCAAGTTCAAAAATTTCCAAGGGAAATATGGCAAGTTAATGGACAAGGTCAAGCTATTGCAGTAATTAAAATTCAAAAATCATTGGAATTATAATTATAATAATAGTTATATTATATTAGATGATAATAGTTTCGTTGCGTTCAAAAATTATGATTTGATAGTATTTACAGTTTTCAAACGTGTATGCTTAAATTTTTTTTACAATCGGATTGTGACGCCTTTTTGCGTATTAAATTATAATATTATATGAATTCGCTCATTATTTTTAAAGAAAATCGACTTTAAACGAGTAACTTCTTTACTCAATAATAAGATACTGTAAAATGTATCTTGAGATAACATTAGAAACAGTATAACTAACAACCATATTTTTATTCACAAACTAGAAACGGTCGCATTCTTACAATACATCGATTGAAAGACTCTATATTGCAGCGCGTTAATATTAAGATATTTTAATTAAGATTTTTAGTTTCAATTATATGAAAAATTCTTTTTTTTTCAGAAACCCAACTCATTAGCTATATGAAAAATAACAAAAAACTATTAAATACTTTTTAGCATTCGTTGCATTTCTATTAATTGTCAATTATTTCTTATTTATTCTTTTGAATTCTTTAACTTTTCGATTGTTCTTAATTTCATTTGATTAAATATCCAATTCAATCTTAGTTGAATTTTAAATCGTTCATTTATTTGAATTCCAATTCGTAGATGAAGACCTAAAGAAAAAAATTTTGAAAAAAAAAATCATAAGAAAAGTATGAATATAGTTCTTTGGGGGGGTTTTTCGATCATCAAGGAAAATTTGATTTTTCATTTAGCTGCTGGTAAAGCCCGTATTCAGTACGCACATATATGACTCATAATTAATATGGAATTTTCTATCAATCTTTTTTCTTTTGTGCAACTCAAAAGATTTTGTGAAACCTATGAGAATATTGTATATCCAATAATAAATTTCCGTTATAATTACATTGTAACTTAATTATTAACTGTTAATGATGCGAACTGAACTCTATCCTAGCTTATCTCAAGATTTTTCTCAACTTCTTGAAAACGCCGATGATTATAATGTTACAATTAAAGCTGGCGAGAATCAAAATACACAAGAGTTTCGTGCACATTCAACAATTTTGAGAGCACGTTCGCCTTATTTCAAAAGTGCTCTCTCAAATCAATGGACTAACAATAAAAAAGATGGGATGATTTTATTTACAAAACCAAATA